AGCTTTCTGCTTTGTTATGAAAAAACAAATTAAGTTGAGGATATCCAACATCAACCACTAGGTGGTAATATTTCACCATGTAAGGAAATTTAAAAAAATCTCCTTGAACTTCACATGTTATATGTTAACAAACATTTTCTTTCTTGTAAAAAAAAGAAAAAAAGAAATTGTTGCATACAGTCAAAACGTGACAGGTTTCTATGATTCTATTCATAAATATTCATAAACACCATAAATCTATATCTCAGTTTTAGGACCAGGAAATATTAACATTTTTAACACAACCAGCACATCCCACAGTGGGATATCTATGTGAGTGTTATTTTTCTAAACGTCCTGAATTTTCCATCTGACAAACACAACCCATATTTTTAAAAAAAGGATTTTAATTATAAACAGGGCTTGCTGTCAGGCTGCTCTCTGATGTATTCATTCTTGTCCTGACCTGTCTGACAGTGAGGCAATTCGTTACATTACATGTCTGTACTGTATGTACCACAGGGTCACGCTTGTGAGGCAGCAGACATTCTTCTCATAACACAGGCTCCAATCCCCAGATCTTCCCCAGCCTTTTCCCAGATTATCATCCAGTCTCAACTGGTCTCAACTGGGAGCGACAGATATCCAGTCAAAACCCTACGGCAGGTTTAAAGGGTGGGTCTTCATCAGGAACACGAGAAGTCGCATTCGCAAACAACTTTTTTAACCTGCACATTTCTTATCAGTGAACTTTGTTTAAAAGTAGTAAATAAACAAGAAGATATTAGTGGTGCAATTATATACAAATTATCAGCTGTTTCTAAGGTTTTAGCCTGAAATAACAGTGATGGACACCTGGCTAAGGTCATTAGTTTGCTGTCTGACATCCCATAATTCATAAATAATCACGTGGCTTTTTGAAAGCAGTGTGACCTCAGTCCTTCACATAGACTATATATAATGGAAAAAATGCCTTTGGTTGTACATGGACTGAAAGGGTATTGCTTTGCGTCTGTAATTAGCACAAAAGCATTCAATGTAAATGATTATATTATTGAATATTATGTTGCTATATTTGTAATAGCACACTGGCAAAGACAATACTGGGATCTGCTCCCCTGTGTCCCACCCATAATTTCCACTCTTAATTTCCACTCTTAATATGACACAGTTTTGGGAGGGAAGAAAAGATGGATGTAGCCTTCTGATCTGGAAAGTAAGGCAGGTGAGGAAGAGCCTTAAATGTGGGCAGTAGACATTGACTTCTCTAGTTGCAAAAGGGCTTTTTCAATTATATAGGACAAATGGTCTTAACCTCACTTGCACTGGGAACCGAGTAAATGCTCCTCTAATTGGTTTACTGTCTCAATCGCCGCAACTTAAATGTAACTTTTTACCCTATTACAGTAAAAAATGCCAATAAAGCAGAGTATGCTTTAGAGCCAGGTAGCTAATAACCAAGTGGTTTTCCTCAGAAAGATTCACCCCACATTTTTGATTCTAGGTTCAAAAAGTAGCAATAGCATTAAATGCTGAATGCAAAATAACTGATGTTGTGTTGTGCTGCTAATATAACATCAGCTCATTGCAAGGATCGACAAAGATGGCATGCTAACACAAAGCTAGCAAAGAACCCAGAGTGACGTTAAAGCTGAGTGTTCACCGACAGCAGTCCAGCAACCCGACCGTGATAGTCAACTGGTAACAAAGGAAGTAATGAACAATCGGGATTTTAGCATTGTGACCTTAATTTGTACCTGCGCGTTTCTATAGCAGAGTTTAAGTGGAAGTGGCGATCGCTTCAAAGTCTCTTTGACCTGGTTTTCAGCTTTGTGTTCAAACTCTAAAAGAAGCATTGTATGTATTTGCCTGTTACAATAGGGATTTGTGTCATTATGTGGAACTTTAGCCTTAGTTTATATTGCTAACTGATGATGATGCATTTCAGGATGTTACAGAATAACAGAAAAGTTAAGTGATGAGTAGTTTAACAGTTTACTTCCTCCGGGGAGTAATAAAGGAATGTGTAATGCATTCCTTTTTTTTTGACTAACTAGCCCAACATTGTTCACTGTCAAATGAGTGATTTCACAATGGCTACATCCATCTTTTATATACAGTTTTGGTGCTCCCCATGCTCCTACCTTTAGCCACAGCATTGGTGCCCTCTCTCTTACTTCACTTACTATGCACTCTCTTTGATATTAGTTTGCAATAAGTTAATGTAGAGTATAAGTGTTTGTACTGAAGATCACTGCAACCAGTGTCATATTCATATTATAAAAGGAAAAGTGAAAACAGATATTTTAGCAAAAAAACCCAAAAAACCTGAACAACTTTTTCTGTCTTGCATAAACAATTTGAGACCTAAAAAAAGTCAATGAAATGTAAATACACAATTAGTTTTATACTAAAGCATGCAAGCACTGCTCATCAGCAGAATCAGTGAGCATGCACGTGATGGCAACAAACAATTTTGAGTGAAAGTTAAAATGAAGCTGCGCTTTATACTTGGTTGCTTCATACTGTTATTGTTCCCTTTGAAAACCTTTAAAATTTTGAATCATGAGACTGTGACAGGTCCGTTCACCCAAAACATCCCGCTTATACACCCAACTAATCACATCATCTGCAAAGTCTTTTCTCTCTAACATTTCCTCCCTCGGCTATCTCGTTTCAACAAGACAAAACGAGGAACTCACACCTGCTATTTCTGCAACGTTAAAACGTTTTACAGCTTCCCTCCTGCTGTAGTTTCTTTTTTCCATTTTTATTCTTACCACTGTTCATGTCATGGAGCGGATGACATGACATGAGTACACTTTATCTCTCTGTGGGACTCTTCCCCTCTCACAACACTTAAAATAAAAAATGGGACACGTCCGGCTGCTCGGCTTACATGAAGGTGAAAGTTCCACAGCTTCCCTATTTCTGTGTCCACTCTTGTCTTTACATCGAGCTTGCACTCAGCTATCTGCTAATTCTTTCCTAATGTGTCATAAGCTCATTGGTACACAATATAAATTCCTAGAAGTGTTTGAGCAGAAAATAATATGTGTTGGGCTGTTGCTATTGTTACTATATGATATGAATTACTAACAGCATTAAATTCCAAATGAGTTACATCACAAGAAGATTTGCATTTTAGAGCTGGCACTGCAGATTACACTGCCTGATGAAATGTGGGTGGGAGCGATGTTATGGCTAGGATCGAGCAGACAGATAGTAGTGATAAACGTCATAAAAATGCAACGGCAGGAAAAGCAGTGACAGCGGGTGTTCAGAGCCATCTGTTTAATGCTTACCCTGCAGGCAGGGCACCTTCTTTGCTTGCCTGGAGCATGTCTGGCTTTTTGTCTGGCTTTTACAGGAGAGTAGACAGATTACTTGCAAAGGTTGAGATGGTTCAGTGGGCTGAAGGTACTAGGTGACACGGAAGCACGGGAGGGGAGGGAACCATATCCTTTTACAGTCTGGAAATAAAGCTGGCCAGCAGCCCTGTGTCTGTCTTCTTATTGGGCCATAGATGACAGGATCACAGCAGCGCTGGCAGTTGGAGGTCCAGCGCCAGACTGCAGCAGGCAGGGAGGTAATTTGACATGGGAAGCATTATTTCATGTGTTACTGAACTTCCCCAGACTGGCCTTTTACATCTATAACTGCATTTATGTGCACCAAACAACAAATCAGACAGTTGTCTTTGCCTTTGACATGCACTTAAACATTGGTCATTTATGTATATATGCGAGAAATCAAATATAATTCCTGGTTAAGAAAAACTGTCACAGACTTGTAGCTATGAAGCAGCCAGCATAAAGACTGCCAGACGCTCTAAAGCTCCTTTAGTAACATGTTATATTTCATAAAAGTTCAAGTTGTGTTTTTTTTACAGAAGTTTTTGTGCACAGCTATTTCTTCAGTGGACTTCCCGGCATCTCAGAAGGTTGTGGGAGCAACCTTTGGGTGGAAAAGGACTCCTACACATGACCGCATGAAAAGCAGTCTGCCACACCAACAAGCTACGTAATTAATCATGTGCTTTGGGCAGCTTTTACTCAACATTTTTCTCTGACTGCTAACCAGATCACATTTTGAAGATGGTGTTTGCCTTTTTGATCTAAAAAGCTCAATAAAGTGATTTCCCAACAATGTCAAAGTATCAAATATGACCGAGTGGAAGTTGTGTAACAAAGAAAAACAACAAACAGCTGGAGTTAAAGCGAGCAGAGGAATTCTCTTGCAACGTGCCTCGCTTTCATCCTGCCAGGGGAATACAGCGCAGACTGGCCAAGATTAGACATCCTTCCTGCAGCATTTTTCACGGTGACTCCTGGGATTTTAAGATCGAAAAACATGCAAGCAATGCGCAAAGAGGCTCAAGGTGCATCACCCTGTGCTCCAGTGGATCATGTGGAGAAACCTAAAATAAGCCGTGGTAAATCTAAAAACACACAGACATGAACTCTGTCCCCTTTAAAGACGCTGTCACTGTGACGAGAGTCACAGTATTCCAGGAATGTCCTGATCCATCGGGGCCGGGATGCCTTAGGGAAGAGACTGAGATTGCTCATAACCGCGCCACTTGCTCTCCTTTAACATATACATGCACATGTGTAAGAGGATGAGTCATACAATAGGCATTTATTTTATTTTATTTTACTGTGAGAAAACATTAGTCCTGACAGCATGTTCCTCCTTTCATCACTCATCACTATGTCTCTGGCATTTTTACTCTTATTTTCTTTTATCTATCTGCACTTTAAACCTTTTCCACAGTATCAAATGAGCTCGATAAATCTGCTGCCTGCTTGTCACATTTTTTTTCCCTTCTTCTTTGAAATGACTCTTTTGACTCTCGGGGTTAAGTAACAACAAAAGCTAAAGAAAAAATAGGCATGCAACCGGATAATTATTTGGGTCAAGGGTTGCGTGACCCCCTCAGGTCTGGGGCTGTTGCCTGTCTGACAACTTCAGACAGATAAAGTGTGGTTAATGAGCTGCAGTTAGAAATAAGTGCTGATATGTAGCAGGAATGTAACACCTGTGTGGATTTTGAATGGAATTCTAAATCCTGCTTTAGGGAGGAAGGCACATTCATGGATGTTGTGTTGAGCGGATGATTCTTTATTTGTTTATTAGAAATAAAAAGAACCAAAAAATGGTTTCCGGCTACAAGTTTTGAGGAAAGCAGATACGAAAATTACTTTTCTTTGTATTGCATGAAAGGACAAAAGTCTATTGATAAAGTGCAAACTGCAGAAACAATTGTGTTATACAGACACGACATGTTAAGGCAAAGCTAGCAAAGAACCCAGACTGACATTAAATTGAGTGTCTGCCAATACCAGCCCAGCAGCCAGACCCTGATCTTCAATGGGTAACAAAGGAAGTGACGAACAATCAGACTTGCAGCACTGAAACCTCAGTTTCCATCTGTACGTGTTTCTACAGCAGAATCACAGTCGGCC